TCTCTCCGCAACCTCACCAGCATTTCTTTGTTTTCTGAACTGTTGAACTGCTATTATTGCTGGAGTGAGATGATATCTCATAGTTGTTTTGATTTGCATCTCTCTAATGACTAAAGATCATAAACAATTCCTCATGTGTTTGTTGGCTGCCAGCATATCATCTTTAGTGAAGTGTCTGTTTATGTCTCTTGCCCATTTTCGAAGTGGATTTTTTGTCTTTTTGGTGTTGAGGTGTTGAAGATTTCTATAGATTTTGGATAAGTCCTTTGTCAGATATATCATAGGCAGGTATTTTCTCCCAATCTGTAGGTTCTCAAGCCTGAAACTTTTAAACACATGAGTATCCTGTTTAAAAAATTCTGGCCACAATTACATTATCAAAAGAAATTTCACACCCCAAATATCTTTTGTGCTTGGAAATGAAGCCAGCTCCCAGGGAACACTTTTCATTGAAATAATAGATTGGCCTATAAAATAAAGAATATCATCTGTGAATACTGTACTACCTTAAATTAATCAACCATGAGACCAAATGGCCAACATTTACCCTAAAACAAAAATGAAAAACAAAAGAGGGGTGGGGAAGCTAGCTTAATGGAAGCAGAATAAAAAGAATGGAAACAATGAGGATGTTGACATGTGAAAAATGTAATCATGCCATGGAACAAATTGTATAAAAATTGTGTTTTAAGTGTAAACTTTCACCTAAAACACACTAAAATATCTTTAAAAATATATAAAAAAAAAAAAAAGAAGAAGAAGAGAAAGAAACAAAGAATATTTGGGAGATGGGGATGTCAGTGCAGTGTTGGGGCCATGCTAATTAACAGTGAATGAAACAAACAAGGATGGGCTCCACTATGACGTTGGCAGGAAATTTGGGAGCAAAGGGCTCGAATGAATAAAATAATTTTGCAATTAACTAAATATGAAAGGTGAAGGAATAGAGGGAAGCACTGAGTTGAAGATTTTTAGGGTTGCTAAATGGATAGATGCTGTGATGCCACTCATCAATCAAAAAGATAGGAAAAGAAACAGGTCTGGAGTTGAGTATAACTAGTTGACTTTCAGACACATTCAGTTTGATCCCTTATGGGACATCCAGATGAAAATAGTAAAATGTACTCTTTTTTAAGCTGAAGAAACAGTTCTGGGTTTTGTAGGGAGTGATTAAGTCATTTTATGTCTGACAGTGCTTATTTTTCAATATGATGCGAAATAAAACTGTCATCTATACAGACCAAGAGGAAAGATTTCAATAAACTTCAGGAAGCTTGAAAAGTTTAATATAGTTGATCAGTATATCATTATTAATATAGTTGATCAATTATTTCAATAATCTTTTTTTTTTACATATAAAACATGTTTTTAAAAAGTTAACAGGTGTTAAGGTCATTCTAATATTAAGGATTCAATATTTGTAGTGTCAGCAATCTGTATATAATGAAATTTCTTTTTGGTCATGCTCAGTGTTCAAGATGTAGGGGCTGAAATATGAGCTCATCATTCTGATTCATGGTTGAGCATTTGTGAATCACTTGTGGGAAAATTAAGGTTTCAAATGACTGAAAGACTTTATAACAAGAATAGCTCAGTGGGATGAAAATAAGACTAAGAGTCGGTCAGTGGACTGACAGAAAGGGGAGGGGTCAAGAACCTGGCATTAACTGTGGGGCAGAAGAGGTCTTGAGAAAGCTGGACAGATAAGGCGTTAGTGTTATCTTCAGAAATTAAAAAGCTAATATGGATACATAAGAAACAATCAATTTCCATAGGTATAAAAGGTACTTATACTGCAACAAAGTGTTTCATAAAAATAAATCATCCACTTCATCAAATTTCAGATGAACCATTAGATATTACAAACCCACCTAAAAATCAAACTACAGATATGCATAGGCAGACATACACATACATATGCACATGCACACACATACAACCTACAACCTTTACACCTATTTATAAGTTTTTTAACATGTTTAATCCAGTGAAAATGAAATGTTTTACTTTTACCATTTTGCTATATTTTATTACCATTGATTAACAAGAATAACATTTTTTTTTCTTTTACTTTTGCTTTTTATGGAAAAATCCTTACTGCTCAGTAAATAAACAGAGTAAAAAATAGTGATAATATTCCCATTGATTTTTTATATGTTGAACTTTAACAAGGATAGACAAACCTGATTTTAACAGCTTTCTGGTCAAGACTAATTGGAATACTTTGTGATTTTTCAAACACATATGCATCCAGTATATCAAACTCACTGCCATCGAGTCAATTCTGACTCATAGTGACATCTGACATCAATACATTATTGCAATTCAAGATTCTAGGAATACAACGACATTCATTTTTCTGATTCAAGGCTATCTCAGTCCTTGAAAATTATATTGTTATTCAGAGTTCCTTCTTTCACAGAAAAAAAAAAAAAAAAAACTATCAAAGCAGAGTAGAAAGGAATATAGCGTTAGAAACAGTCCTAGAAAGAACAGTACGTACTTATGCTTTCAAGTGTGGAGGGTAAGTTTTGAAAAGGAATCTTAGTTTAATTTCTTATTACTGCATGAGGGTCACATAGCCCATCTTGCAGTTCCTTTCAAGTAAATCTGTGCAAAATATGTGATTGTCCCAAATAAAGTACAATCTGTTCTTCCTCATATTTTTCTATTTTGAAACCCAATTTGAGTTTTACTCCTAGTAAATTGGGCATCTTCTATTCAGTAACTATTATATGCTATTAGGAAAAAAGGAAGTTTGAGATTTGAATCCCTTGCAAAACCATCTAAATAATTAGAATTGCTCTTTTCCTTCCAAGTCTGGCATAGTTACTCAAACAGGTGTCATAGTAAAAAATTTTCCCTCTTCCTCTTTCTCAAAACTCAAGGACACCATTGCTTCATAAAAATTAAAGTAAGGATAACTTTGTTATTTATGAAATCTAAAGTATGTTTAATCCATGTTTATATCATGAAGTAGAGAACAGAAGTTTAACTTCTATATCAAAGTAAAGGAATGTCTTATTTTAAAATGTTTAGGCTGGGACACTATTAAGCTCTGATACACACTTCAAGGAAAGACCAACAAGGAAGCCTTTTCAAGGAAAATAACAGTGTGACCAGGCCTCTTACTCCCTGATATAAGGGAAAGTAGTCAAGGAACCAGGAGGGAAGAAAAATATATATGAGAAATTATTCAACTATATTTGAAGTGCTATAACGTACAAGATGTAAACTTGTTTTAAAAGAGGTTGGAAGGACATGTGATTGTTCTAGGAAAAACAAATATATCAATAACAGAAGCGGAAGTAGCATAGCACAACACTTAATAGTCTGGACTGTTTGTTAGACTGCCTAAGCTTTGTTTATGGTGCAAGCATCTACTTTTATATTATACATTTTTAAGCATTAGAGTGCCAGTTATTATAGCTGTCTCTCATCTCCTTACCCACAATTCTATATTTTACCTTGTGATGCTGAGGATGAGATTTTGTAGAGCAGTGGTTCCCCTTGAGTCTCTAAAATAGCTTCTGGGGACTTGCAAAACCAAATGGTTTTCATAATGATATTAAGATATTATTTTTGTGTTTGACTCTCACTCTCCTAGGAGGGTACAGTGGAGTTTTCCAGAGACTGTTGTTGTTGTTGTTATGTGCCGTCGAGTCGGCCCCGACTCATAATGACCCCTTCTTGGGTTTCCGAGACAGTATCACTATGGAAGTAGGATTGCCCAACCTTCCTTCCGAGGAGTGGCTGGTGGGTTTGAACCGCCAGCC